GACAAATAAAGAATTAATTAAGAGAGAAATCGGATTTCCATTATAACCTTGACATTGATGACTCAAATCTTCCAGCTATTTGGGGAGGTAGAATGATATGTACTTGTATTTATTCCCGTAAGAGATGAGACTCCAGGATTTAGTTGCTTTGATGGAAAAGTATTGTAATTAATAAAATTTTTTCATAAAATATTTTTTGTTAAATTTAAATCTCTACAGTTTTAATAAATGGCCTCTTTTCATTTACTAAAACACGAGAAAGGGCAAATCAACGGCCCTGTAGGGCCAACAACTATTTTAGGGCGTAAGTTCACACAGCACTTTCTTACAGCTTAGGGCAAGGGACCTCTGTGAATTTTTACATGTGCTTTTTCACTGCGCAATTTCGCAATGCTTCTCGAGAAGGGCCAAAGAGATAATCGACCTTCTTGCAATAAAAAAGCCTATTTTCCTCCTACCCTTTCCCAGATATCCAACTAAAACTTGTGTGCCTATACATATTCTAATTAAATAAGACGTCTTATGACAGTTATACATAATTAAAAATAACATCCAATGGTAGTACTCTCATGTTTTGTATTTATTTAAAAATACCTGTTATCTCCATTAGAGTTAATCCTCTCTCATATAATACACTTATACTTTTCTTACAACCCTCGAAGCATAAAGAAAATCTTAGAAAGTTTGAGAAATAGAAAAAAGTTACAAAAATTCAGGTCTTCTTCAGAATATGGTGACTAAGGCAGCAATACTGTACTGTGCTTTGACTGACAATCCACGAACATACGAAGACAAGAGAGTGGGGGACTAATCAAGGTGTGAAAAAAAAATTTTTTTTCGGCATAAATCTAGGGATTCAACTGAACTTTTTTTGGACTTGGTTAATGTGACAGCTTAAGTTGAGGTAATTAAGCTTTTTTTTATAATCTAACCAGAAACTTATGATTCGTCATTAGTTATAATCATCTAGAGCATAACTGGGTCGTCGAGGGCCAAGTACAGTCTTGCGTAAGTAATATGGAAGCGTTTCTATTGTTGTGCCTAATTCAACAATTTTGTAACGTATTTTATAAAGGAGTAGATAAATCGGACGTTACTATTTATATAAAGTTTCCGGTGAAAATGTTCTACAATATTTGTGAAGAATTATCACTTCATGAACTAAACCTCAAAATTTTAACAGTAGTAATGTTACTTAGAATTCAAGTTTATCAAATAGACTGCACATCGAAACATGACTGAGAATTACGAAATTATTGAAGTAATATAGAAAAAAAATAATAAGCAATTTCCAATCTTTGTTCCTTTTACTATGACAATAAAAAAAATCTCAAGGTCAACGTTTTAAGTATAATGTATCCTGATGTAGGTTTATATTTGAAAAAATGTCTTCATTTTTTCATGGACAGTTATACGTGGATTTATTAAAATGCACAAGTAAAAATAATTTATTGATTCAAGCAGTAAGAGAAAAAATACAGGATTAAAAAAACATTGTTTGAAAAGAAATCATTCACATGATAAGTTAACTTTACTGTATACTTCTTATTGATAAATGGATAAAATTTATGGCAATAAATTGAGCCTAATTATATTTATTAATATTTTATTATTCAATTCTTCATGTTGATACTTTTCTGTTAAATAAATTCTATCTTGAATTATCTAGAATAAGGAATTTTTTATTTTTTAACTAAACTTATTGTAAAAACTTTGTATACATGTTGTAAAAAAATTATCATAGCTTTGTTTTAATAATNTCTTAAATTCCAGTTGTAAGGTTCAATTTTAATTTGTTAATTCATAATATTAACATACATCAATAATTGTTTTTTAACACGTGTACGTCGAGGGAATAGGTAAAGGGTAGATGGGGGTTTTTAATTATAATAATCAATACTGTTACTTATTGACTTATTTTGGTATAAAAGCTTGAAAAATATAAGGCACTAGTACTTTCATGATACATTTGCAGAAAAAAATTTGTCGTTTCTGTTTGATAATCTAGTATAAAGAATATGAAAGTTATCTTTTGACAAAGAAATTAATTTTAACTATAAACAAAAAAATTTAGTTGCTGTCCCAATAAAAAGGAACTGAATTTATTTGATAGGAATCATTTATAAATATTAATTTTATATTTTATCAATATTTATAAAGTCCATCTATTTTATCTCTTTGAAGGTATAGAAAAGCTGATACGCTTCTTAGCAATAATTAATTAACCTGAGCCTATAAACTCGTTTGCTGATAGTATTAAACAACTTCTCAACAATACTTAATCCATCGTTGACTGGTCACACTATCGCGTACATATTTTATTTTATCTTGTCATATATTAATCATTCTTTCATAGTTGCTAATGATATTTATCTAAGATTATTACTGCTTAGCTACTTATAGTATCAGAGTCTATTAATAAGAAAAAGGATAATAATGTATATCATAATAATATTGAATTATTCTTACTGCTTGATCATTATTGGTTCTATTGGCACATCTACGTATTAAATTTCTCTATCAATAATTTATTCTTACACCATGTTTTTAACAGCTCACTTGCGGTATGGTACTATTTAATTGTCATGTTATTGCTGTTAATAAGAGCACTATTATACAACTTTAGCTAAACCTTTAATCAAATTTTATATATTTGAATAAATACTCTATTATTATTATTATTGTTATTGTAATACTTAATAAATGTTATTTTTGATACTGGCCAGTTATGATTTACTCCATAGACCAATAAATACAATCTAATGTAATCCAATCGAATAATCCTGCTAGATCTTCTACGTGCGTCAAGGTAAGTGAAGTTAATTTAGTTACTCATGCCCTTCCTTCCTCTTTTACAACCAAATTTTGCAGATTTTTCCGTGTAACTTAATATTAACATTAATATGAAATGTTTCTAATAATACTAATAAAATATTATTAATTAATATTGGGATAAAATCTTACTAATAATAATACACTCTTGGTTTTTTCAATCAACTAGGGGGCTGCGCCCCCTGCGCACTCCACGCGCCAACCCCCAAAATTTAATCGAACATTTATTTTTTGTATTTTAGAGAAGAATACAACATTTATGTCTTTTTCGTAACACGTAAAATTGTAATATTTATCAACTTACAAATTAAAATAACTTTTCATTTATTTTTCAAAATTTTATTTTCAAATCTACCCGCGCTTGATCAGTCTCAGCCAATCACGTGACGAATAAACAGGCTTCATCACGTGACCCATTATTTTTTAAGATAGGAACTTACTTTAAAAAGAGCGATGGAAATTGCTTATCATTCTGATTAAATGTTTGAGTAAATAAACGGTTGGTATGATACGGTATAACAATTAGCATTATTTAATTATGAACCAGAAGTAAAAGTAGCCGTTGCTATAATACTTACACTTAAAATATTAGTAATAGTAATAATAATTATACTAATAATAGTACCATGCTTGTCGCGAGTTAGCATAATTAAATTTACGGTCAGTTTTGACAGATTATAATGTTGCAAAAATAAATCAGAATGTCTGGTAGAATTTGAATCAACTGATTTTGCACTGCTAGTTTCCAGAAATGAAGTCAGTTCATCATACCCTGGGGATTCGTGGATTCCGTTACCTATGTTGGAGGCAGCAATACAGACTTTCTTTTGACGTTACTGAGATAAGAAAATCATGAGACGGAAAATCATGTGTCTGCAAAAATGAATAGTCAAAATCGTGTGAAAGGTTAAAAATATTGCTCTGCTAAATTGACCGTACTTAACACTTCTGTGTGTTATATATAGCAGTTGCTTACTGCAGGTGTAGCATGTATACTTTTTTTTTTGTACCTTAATTACATATTTGTTTTATCTTAATCCATACGATTGAATTCTATTTTATTCTAGCGTTTAATCTTATTCCTCAGTGTAGCTGTTTCAAGCTTAACTTTCACCTAACTGTTTATGAAGTTGATTTTGTTAATTTTTTTATAAGATAATATTAGTTTTTCATTTTGGTCAGCATAGGCCATCGTGTATGTGCGTAAGTCATGTTTTGTTTTCGTACTGCAACTACATGCAAACTTGCAGGTGATTTACTCCTTTACAGATGCACTTAGGTCCTCACTTTCAATACTTTCCAAATCAGAATTGGAAATTTCGAAGAAATGAATAAAAAAAATTATTAGTATTTGTATCAACAATAGTTTATTGACATTACAATACTTAAAAAAGTTAAAAGCATTTTGACCTTGTCAACACAGTAGTCGTTGAATTATCTGGAGATGGAAATGGACATCAGATACAAGTCTAGACAGTCATTGTTAACCATAGAACTGTTGAATTATTGGAACGACATACAATAAATTATATATAGATGTATAAAATAGACCACACAAGGCGGCCAAGTTGCTGGAACTGAGATCATGATAGGGGAAGTGCAAGAATGTCTCTCTCTTTTTATTATCATGTTGTCTCTTTCATTGGGGAAAAGGTGACAGAGACGAGTGGGGATAAGGTGGGAGTAGAGCTTAGCTCACCAGTAGATCTGTTAACATAAGAACAAAGCTTTGTACTCTCATCTTATCCCCACCTCATACTGGTAAAAAATAGCATTTTTTACACAAGTGCTTACATATCTTGAGTCTGAAAATTTCTTAGGTGTAAATGGCGCTTATGTAATAATTAAAAACAAAATAAATTGAGAATATAATTTTTTAGATTTTTATCAACAATTAAAATCAAGTCCACATTGTAGATGCAGTATAGAAAAAAATTTTAATTTTAGAATATCAACGAGATCTCTTTGTATAGCTGGTAGTGATATTTTTTATAGGAAATAAATTACATATATTCCACTAAAGTTATGGAATTATACTTTTATTATTACATTATTCATGTACTATGAGTATTTGAAATTTCTGTAGTGTGATGCATCAACATGAAATAAATCTTAAAATTAATAACTCTTAAAATGTTCGTATAAAAACAGAGCCAAACTTATTTTAGGTCCGTCATGACTCACGCATCAGTACCTGCAGCTGAAAGAGAAAACCTTGGAATTACCGACCAACTTGTCCGCTTATCTGTTGGACTAGAGACAAAAGAAGATCTAATTGCTGATTTGAATCAGGCTTTAGAATATTCTATACTGTAAGAACATTAAATATTAACTCACATGTACATGATTAAACAAAATGTCACATAACGGGATGTATTTTTTTCATCTCTTAAAATTCTTACCTAATGTTAACGATATTATGAACTAAATATTCTTAACTTATGTACAAAACGTATAGACGACGTGAAAATTAAAAGCCCTGAATGGTTTAGGATAAAACAAAAATTATTAAATATTTAACGGAAATTTATTAGCAAATAAAACTCGGGCGAAAATTCTGTCATTGTGAAATAAGTCACATCAAAAGATTATTATGAATGTAAAAGAGCTTATCGTATGGGAAGAAACTGAATAGTGTAGGCAATTAAATGTAATAAGTTATAATTATACTTTTTTTTGCTATATACAGTAGAAATAGAATATTTCTGTATTATTTTTTTAAGCGTATAAAATCTGAGGAATATGGATTTTGTCAAATAGAACACGCATGCATGTAAAAAAGCATTTTGCATGCATCTAAAAAAAATTTGTGCCCAACGTCTAAGTCTCACTGTACATGGTCTATATAGGGTTATCTTTAAAGAAAACTCATCGTACACATTTACTTGGCAAGAAAAATAAGTGTAACTAATTTTTCTTGATCTGGTATAAAGTTTAAAATTTTTTTTTTCTTCCTTCCGTTCAACACTCTGAGTTCATGGGTAATCTGCATTATAACTGAATTATTTTCTTTTACAGTTCTTTTAAGTAGTACTTCAACATTTGTTTCATCGTTACGTTCCAAGTGCTAGCGAATAATGTTAGTCCTCATAATTCAATTTTTGATTTACTCTTTATTTAATTCATAGTCATGTACGGGTTCCTACGGTTCCTCACCATCTGGTACAGGCATTAGCATCCTGAAATATAAACCATTTTTAAGTAGTATACAATATTATGATTGCTCTTTTTCGAATAGAGAATTCTTTTCATACCATTTTTTGCATAGAATATTGAACAGTATGGCGCTTGCATAAATTATATCAGCTGCAAAGTCTGGATCGTAATGCAACGAACGGTCACTGTTAAGACATCTGAAAATTTATTTAAAAATACTAAAAATTTTCTGTATGACACACTAAATCCAGCCTATACTCATTATACTTCCTTGACCTTGTTCGAGGATATTACTTTGTAGTACCTTTTCCAGTTGCCAAACGCTGCCAACATTCAGAGAAAAATTATACGTAGATACGCACATTGCATGTTTCTGGGAAGCATATTTCTGGGATGCTCAAAACACGTGATGTGCTTTTTCGGTATCCAGGAAACATATTTCTAGGATCCCTTAAGTGATATATCATTTTTTCCGCGATGTATATATTACATTTTGGATCCCACAAATATTAATCTTTGAATTTGTTGATTTTTCTTGTTTATTTTATTTGCTCAAGCAATTGAAATGTTACAGTTTATTTAACTTTTAAACTATTACTAACAGTGGCATTGAATCTTCACAATAAATATTTAACAATTAACAGCGAACAATTAACACTTCAAAATGAGAATCTTATACTTACAGTAACTGTACAAATTTATCTTAAGAAGTAATAAGATAAAAATTTAAACCACGTAAATATTTTTTTATTATTTAATAGTAAGATTACATTTTTGTGACTTTTAACTGCAAAAAAACCAACAAAAAAAAAAGTTGAATCACCTGATTATTTTTATAAATAAGTCAGTATACTAACACTGTCACTATGGCATACTTATAATTTTGCCTACGCAATAATCTCACGTTAAAACACAAACGCAAGGGTTGCACAAAATTTATAGGATAAACTTCATGATTACTAAATGTTTTTCAAATAAAAAAATTCCAGTTAGTAAGACCTCTTAAAAAAAATGATGTATCAACTAAGTCATTGCCTCTTGAATTAGTGATGTATATATTTTTAATGTTTTAAAGCAGGGTCACGAAACTGTGTCTCATAACGTAAGAGAGAAACTCTAGTTAAGGTAATCTTTGGATTCTTAGTAAAAAGGTAACTTTATTAATACTCTCAATGACATATTCATAATTTTGACTAAAAAATAACCTCAAGTGTAAATATGTCAGGGTCGCGCACGAGATTGCTTAGTTGCATTTCATAATTGCGATGCATTTTTGAGGAAAAAACAAGTTGCTTCTTATGCTGCTAAAGCAAAATGTTGTACTCAAATCATGTTTTATTTATTGCAGAAAAAATTTTTTTTGATGATTTAAAGCAGGGTCGCAAAACTGCGGATTGTTACTGTACTAATGATAATTTCACTGGCGAGTAACTGCACAGTAAAATACTTATTTTTATGAACTTTTTTGTTCTTCAGAAAAAAAGAAGTTTTACTAGTACTGCCACTAACATGTTTATAATTTTGCCTACACAATAATCTCATGTTAAAACCTTTACATAAAGGTCACACGAAATTTCTAAGAAAATCTTTACAATTGCTAAGGGTCTTTCAAATAAAAGAAAAGGTCTTATAGTAAATTAAAAGAAGCATGTATATTATTAATAGCCTTAATACTGTTACTAGCATATTAATAGTAATACCTACAAAATAACCTTACGTATGAATATTTAAGAGTTGCTTGAGAATTTATGATGACCAAGTGTTTTTATTTTTTTATTTATTCTTTTCTTTAAGTTGTTTCTTTTACTGCTATAAAGCTAAACAATGCACTAGAATTGTTTTATCATGATTTGGTAAAAATAATATTTATTAATGTTTTAAAGCAAAGTTGCAAATTTGTGGCTTTTAAAAGGGCTCCTGCGACTACCGCTAAGGTCATATACAAACAAAAAAATCAAGTTTTGTCTTTCAAAAATGATATGTATATAAAATTATTACGTTATTTTTAATGAAATATAAAGTGGGAAAAATTACTTTTTTGTGTATAGTTTAACTTTTTACGAAAAAGAATTTTTTGTTTTGATCAGTGAAGTGTCGACAGGTACAGCAGTGTGTCGGTCGGTGTAGCAATGACTATGTATACGTCTTGTTTGTATATTACCTTTTTACTGTTAAGTAGACGTGACGATTTATTTTTAAGTCCAAGCTTTCACTTAATAACTCGGGACTCACACTGGGCGCGTAGGTGGGACGCGTGGCTAGAGGGTAGTCCCACTTGAAAAATTAGACATGTGGGTTAGAATGGATTCCATATGGATTTTTCTAGATTTTCATGTGGAAATCCACGTAAAAATTTTTATTGCAAAAAAGTAGTATCACGTTAGTGATACATCTGACTCACATCTAAGCTAAACAGTGCTGCTAAGCAGGTCTGTAAAAAAATCCACACGGGTTTCCTGCGAGGAATTCACACGGCTATTTATGTAAATATTTTGAGCCAGACATTCATCCATATTCAGGTGGGTTTCCAACCGATTACCGTGCATTTTTTAGCCTCTTCAGGTAAATTGTCGCACCGATTTATAAGGGTCTTCCAGACGACGGCCAATTTTTTGCTAATGCACTTATGCTTTCTTGCCCATACACTCAGATGATCTGGAGAATCTACGTAAAGAACCTGGAAAATCAATGTGTACTGGCTAGACAGTACATGTGGGTTGGTTAAACATTTTATTAAAATCGAATCGATTGGATGACGTCGATCGGTAAAAAAATCTAATAAACGTGGATCAGCCAGGGGATCCATGTGGATAGAATAGGTAGGAAAAGCCACAGAGTTCAGCTAAAAGATCCTCGGGACATAGTTGTGACGGGAATTTTTCGGCCGAGAAAACAGCCGTCCCGAATTCTCTCACAAAACTCGCTTACTTACTCCTCCTCGTCCCTCTCCACTGGATTCCTCTCCTCCGGGAGGTCTGCCGCTGGTGCTCGGCTCGGGAACGCCGAACACTCCTGCAAAGGAAACTAAAAGGGGACTTCGGGGCACCAACTACACAAAAAATAACTCACTGGTATCACTTTCACAGTGCGTGCGCTATTTATTCTCCCTTCTCTACTCTTTACGCGTCCCACCTTTCACTCTCTCTCTCTGTCTCTCTCGAAATTGAGTAACCAATTATTTGTATATCTCTGTATAAAAAGAGATATGGCTCCGCTGTCCTCGAGGTAGATGTCCTGGGTTGAGTAACTCCTGGTCGTCCTCCGCCGGCCTTAACCTTTGTTCAGTTGGCGAGGACCCGTACCTAAATCCCTCACTCACACGCACACGCTCGCACACAATCTCACTTACACCTCTCGTCTCTCAACCTTACTCCTGGTGCCCTACAACCTGACACCCCCTCTACCCACCACTATACCCCCTTTTCCACACTTACACACACCCACCGCGCCCGCTCGGATCGTCCCAACACTATCCCGTATACCACCCGGTGCACTATTTACAGTACACTTACCTCCTGGTGATCCTTGTGGGTTCCGACTACCTGGAATTCGTCTCACTCGTCGTGACGGCTCGGTCGTTCTCTCCGCTTGTTGCCCTTGTCTGATGGTCTCGCGCTACTTCCCCTTTTTTCTAACCTCAGCTACTCTCTCCCGTCACACTTGACCTTGACCTCGCTCTCCGCAATCCCTTCCTCTGCCCTATCACTTCCCTAGCTATCACTACTACCTTTTATTTCTTACTCTGCTCTCTCTGATGACTCTCGCGGATGCTCGTCCTACTCTCCGCGTTCTCTCGATCGTGGCTGCTACAACTCTGCTGGGCTCTGCTCTCTCTGATGGCTCTCGCGGTACTGCTGCGTTATGGCAGTGCACTTGAACAGATGCGCGCGCCCCTCCCGTAAATACGAAAAATCTCCAACACTCCTAAAAACCGGTAAATTATTGGAGGTTTCCAAAAACTCGGGAACCGACGCGGCCGCTTGGCGCTCACGCCTCTCCGACGTGTGTCGAGCCCTCGCCCCTCTCTCCTTCTCTACCGTACACACATGCTCACTCAATCATACCACACACTCTTTCAATCCCTTTTTCTCTTCTTCGGTCCTTCTCTCTCCTCTGGCTCGTAGTCCGCGGCACCGAGAACACACATTAAGAATGTGTTGTAAAACGATACATATGGAAAATATTTACAGTATCATAGGACTCGGTAGCCG